TGGGGTTCTTCTTCATGATACTCCTAAGGAACAAACAGCGAATACCACTCCTCCGTGAATGCAGTAGTAGAATAATGTCAAGCAAGAATATAATACAGCCGATGAATAGGTCCAAAATATCGAACAGTGAATATAATTCTATAGTTTCAGGTGAATAGAATATAATACAGGTTGCAGTAAGAGTGGTGAACCTGAAAAACAAAACAATATAGAAGATTAAAGCAGGTAAAAAAAGAAGAACTGCGGAGTCTAAAGTAGGTGAAAAATCACTGTTATCAGGTAGCATAGCAAAAGGCAAGATTCATAAGATGAAGGCTCGAAGAAACATAAAAAAATGAGTGTTCAAATTAGAAACGTCGTGCGGTCGTTTCGTTTTATTATATAAGTGAGCCGGTCATGTGGGCTACTTTTATCACAAAGTTTTTCCAAAAACCGAAATAAAGATTACAGTATCTATGTATTTACGTGGACGTAAACCGTTTTCCGTTCAGGGCTGGGAGCCAGAGCCAGTTCGGAGATGTCACTGCTGTAAGGAGGCCACCTGATGTAGAAGTCATTGTTTTATCGTCTAGACAAGACTGATACCAGTTTGCCGTCGCTGAGGGGAATCGTTGGCCCGGATGACGCATGATCTAAAATCCGATCACAGGACCGCGTGCGTAGCAGGCTGCGCCACCTGTCACTGCACCACCTCCCCAACAACACACAGGACGCAAGAAATCTCCTATTCGAACTAATCCTTCTGATTCTCAAAATCTTATATGGTTGAGAGTACAAGCACATAGAAACTTGAATAGCAAGATTTTACCTAGAAGCACACACGGCAGGAACCACGAGGTACTCATGCAGCAACATTTTATATTCAGAAATTTTTTCCCTTTTCCAAGGCTCAGGCCCGAAGTGAGTGGCTGCAGTGTACATCATGAAAATTTGTCATATCGGAAACATTTTCTAACGGCATTAACGGATACTTTGTTAAAAAGCAAAAATGAAGCTAAATTAATTGAAATATAATAAATAAACGAATAGTAATTAGAACAAGAAACACGGAAGGAAGAAATTAGACTGCACCATCTTTATGGACAACGTTTTCTTTGAGTAATCGATGCTGAGCTGCTGAAACGTATGAGGGTCACGTCTGGCGACCTCAGCCTTAGCCCATAAGTCTCAGGTAGGTATAGGTATAAATAAACGAGTAACGATTATGTTCGGTAACGATGCTGTTTTGCATGCATTTAGTGTATCATACGCTAATCACACTCGTTTGAAAGAGTAATTGTGAATGTTTTATAATAGATTTTTTGAATAAAATAAAATGTGGCAAAAGAATTGGCCCACTGATGGTACACGTTTTCTGGACGAGTCAGACAAACTTCCTAGAAGAGATATCAACATTTTGAAAGAACTCCGAAGGATAAATCAGTGTACTGTGTACAGGATGTTCCAAAGAGTTTCGACGCCTGCAGTAGTGAAGGATAAGTAGCAATGGACATGCAAAGAAGAGGGAAGCTGAGACTGAAGATCTGAAAGGCATCGGCTACCAAATAAAAGGTAACAGCAGATTGCTCAAAAAATACATATTATCTATTTAAAAATTACAATTGCACAATGTGCCCCACAATGAGTGAAAATTTCGCACAATGACCAAACTTTTTGGAATGTTTGAGGAACAAGAATTTTCCAACTACACTAACTACCCCTTCCGTACGAGATGGGTCCAGTCAGAAGTAAAGGTATGATGTGGTCACGGAAGCAGAATAAGATAGGATATTGTAAGCAAATCAGGACGACTCAGTGTGAGAATCTGGAAAGCCGTACGATGCTGCTCGCTCCTGCGGTCATCGCGAAAGCCATAAATCTTGCAATGCAATGCGGCGGGTCCAGTGCACAAGGCGCGTCATAAGCACGGCAATGAAATTCGAACCATGGCACGGCGGTTTTCTGAAATTATTTACTTGCGTATGGGCGGAAGTGGTGTAGTGGCAAGTGGCACGCTTACCACGAGCGGTCCGGGGATCAAATCCTGGGTCGTGAGTCGCCCGGGCCAACCAAGCCTTCCATCCCTCCGGGGTCGGTTAATTGGTACCAGACTTGTCTGGGAGGATAAAAACACTGACTTGTACATCGGCTGGCCCCCGCAAGTCATTGTATAGGCCACATCGCATTCAAACGCCACTACGAATGTACAAATGGAAGTAGAATGCGTGCCGCATCCCAAAAAGGGATTGATCAACGGCAAATGCTTTATCCTTTTTATCCTTTATTTACTTGCGTAATAGCAGGGATAGGTGCAAGGACCTTGGACATCTTGCCTGTGACTTAATTTGTAATCGTAGAAGCGCTGGATATGCTTCGGAAAAGGTCAACCATCTGTAGGACTAGTAACGAGGTAGTAGTGTTTGTGCACCGAATATCACGCGCCTTTTGCCAACACTTGCTTTATTAGCTCTTCTACCTCACGAGTCGTTGAATTTCCACTACACTGGCTTATCTCCCTTGAATGCGCTTACCGCACGACCAGTACCTGATCGACCCGTCGGGGGATTTGTAAGATTGTCTCAGCCGTGTTGCTTCAGGTCCTTTGGACTAGTCTGTGTGAATCTGAAAGACCAGAATGCATCACTCTCTTCACAAGGAGGCCCTTCTTCGTTTGGTGCAGTGTCCACCAGCGATTTCGTCGCTCGTTTCTAGCGCTTGCCTTTTCAGAGAGATCCATGACCACCTGCCAATAAGGGGGGGGGGTGGTTCGGTGCGGAGTCAGTTTTTCACCGGGTAGTATTTGGACATCCTTTTCACTTTTGATTGATGATCTCCTTACAAGTACAAGATCTATAATGTTTTCGCTTACCTTCCTTCACAGCTGCAGGTTATTTTCACTGGAAGTGGTGCTGCAGTTGCCAGATCTACTGCAAAGTCTAAAAAACTATCCCCCTCTCAATCCTCATTGCCACTATCCTATCCCCCTCTCATTCCTCATTGCCACTCCTCTACCTTACGTGTACCCTTTCTAGGCCTCTTCTGTCGTTGTCGATGTGGCCGTTCAGATCACCTGTAACGGTCAGGTATTACAGTCCGAAATCGATCTGATGGCATAGTCGAGACTCCGAGCAAACGGACTAAGCTGTGAACACGAAAAATTGATCCAACTCATTGCACTCACAGCCATTCTTCGATTGCTGACCCTACCCTAATTTCCGGTAGAGTAGCCCGCGCCAATTATCATGTAAAAACACCTCCGCTCGTGCAGTGTAATTTTGTACACCTTAGAAACTACCGTAAATTTGCCTATAGAGGTAATTCGATGCCCTGATTACGAAAATGACTTTCATTTTTAGCGGTGGCGCCATCTGGCGCCAGTTGGCGTCACTGTTTTCACCAAATTTGGTGTAAACTTCCGTATAGGGGTTATTTGGTGTCCTGATTACGAATATGACATTCATTCTCGGCGCTGGCGCTATTTGGCGCCTATTTTCTGCTCGTCTGCGCTCTCCAACCGAGAAATATGCGTTGAACAACGTTAATGCCAAAAACGAATGTCATATTCGTAATCAGGGCACCAAATAACCCCTATACAGAAGTTTACACCGATTTTGGTGAAAACAAGGGTCGTGACAAGGTGACGCCAACTGGCGCCAGATGGCGCCACCGCTAAAAATGAATGTCGTTTTCGTAATCAGCATATCGAATTACCCCTATGGGCAAGTTACGGTTGTCTCTAGATGTACGCAAGTGCACTGCACCAGCGGAGGTGTTTTTACGTGGTAA